CTGAATCGTGCCCTTCAGAATGGCAGACTTTATGACATGTGAGTTATATCTTAATTAATTAATTTTTTTAGGTTTTTTTTTTTTTGATGTGGACCATTTTTAAAGTCTTTATTTAATTTGTTACAATATTGCTTCTGTTTTATGCTTTGGTTCTTTGGCCACGAGGCATGTGGGTTCTTAGCTCCCTGACCAGGGATTGAACCCCCATCCCCTGTGTTGGAAGGCGAAGCCTTAACCACTGGACCGCCAGGGAAGTCCCTTAAATTTTTTTTTAAAAAGAGGGGAAAAAAGACATAGAGACCCATCAATCAGTGGACCAACTTACTGGGCTCTTAATTCAAACAAAGCAACTTAAAAAAAGACGTTTTTTAAACAACCAGGGAAAATTGAATGTGGATTCTTTTTTTTAATTTATTTTTTAATTGATGTAACATTGGTGTATAATATTACATGTTTCATGTATGCAGCATTATATTTCTACTTCTGTATACACTACAGCCTGCTGACCACCAAAAATTTAGTTTCCATCCATCACCATACAGTTGCCAACCATATAGTTACAACATATGTTACCCATTTTGCCCTTCTCACCCTTCTGCTCTGGTAACCACTACTCTGTTCTCTGTATCTACATGTTTGTTTTTGTTTGGTTTGGTTTGTTCGTTTGTTTTTTATATTCCACGTGAGCAAAATCATATGGTATTGTATTTCTCTGACTTATTTCATTTAGCTTGATACCCTCAAGGTGCATCAGTGTTGTTACAGATGGCAAGATTTCGTCTTTTTAATGGCTGAGTAGTATTCCATTGTATATATAATATATACCACATCTTCTTTATTTATTCATCCATTTATCGGCACTTAGGTTGTTTACATATCTTGGCTATTCAAAATAAGGCTATGATGAACATAGGGGTGCATATCTCTTTTCAAATTAGTATTTTCATATTCTTTGGATAAATACCTAGAAACGTTGGGGGGAGTTCCCTGGTGGCACAGTGGTTAAGAATCTGCCTGCCAATGCAGGGGACACGGGTTCAAGCCCTGGTCCGGGAAGATCCCACATGCCATGGAGCAACTAAGACCGTGTGCCACAACTACTGAGCCTGTGCTGTAGAGACCACGGGCCACAACTACTGAGCCTGCGTGCCACAGCTACTGAAGCCCGCACGCCTAGAGCCCATGCTCTGCAACAAGAGAAGCCACTGCAATGAGAAGCCTGTGCACCACAACGAAGAGCAGCCCCCACTCGCTGCAACTAGAGAAAGCCCGCAAGCCAGCAATGAAGACCCAAAGCAGCCAAAAAAGAAAGAAAGGAAGGAAAAAAGAAAAAAAAAAGTTATATTAAAAAAAAATACCCAGAAGTGTTGGGAATTCCCCGGCGGTCCAGTGGTTAGGACTCTGCTTTCACTGCCGTGGGCCCAGGTTCAATCCCTGGTCGGGGAACTAAGATCCCACAGCCACATGGCGTGGCCCAAACAAACAAACAAACAAAAAACCCCAGAAGTGAAATAGTTAGGTCGTATGGTAGTCCTATTCTTAATTTTTTGAGAAAACTCTGTACTGGTAACACTCTGGCTTTACCACTTTACAGTTCCACTAACATTGAATGAGTGTTCTCTTTTCTCCACATACTCACCAACACTTATTATTTCTTGCCTGTTTGATGATAGCAGTTCTAACAGATGTGAGGTAGTATTTTACTGTGATTTTGATTTGTATTTCCCTAATAATTAGTGATGTTGAACATCTTTCCATGTGCCTGTTGGCTATCCGTATGTCTTCTTTGGAAAAATGTCTATTCAGCCCCTCTACCCATTTTTTAATCAGGTTGTTTGTTTTTTGCTGTTGTTGAATTGTATGAGTTCTTTATCTATTATGAATATTAATCCCTTATTGGACATATGATTTACAAATATCTTCTCCCATTTGGTAGGTTGTCTTTGTTTTGTTGGTGGTTTCCCTTGCTGTGTGGAAGCTTTTTAGTTTGATACAGTCCCATTTGTTTATTTTTGCTTTTGTTTCCCGTGCCTGAGGAGACATATCTAGAAAGATATTGTTAATACCGATGCCCAAGAGTATACTGCCTATGTTTTCTTCTAGGAGTTTTATGGTTTCACGTTTTACATTAAAGTCTCTGATCCATTTTGAGTTGATTTTTGTGTATGGTGTGGGATAGTGGTGTAGTTTAATTTTTTTGCATGTGGATGTCCAGTTTTCGCAACTCCATTTATTGAAGAGACTATCCTTTCGCCATTGTATGTTCTTGGTACCTCTGTAGTGAATTAGTTGTGTGGGTTTATGTGTGTGGGTTTATTTGAACATGGATTCTGTATTAGATGATATAAGGGATTATTGATTTGGAAATGTGCAACAGTAGTAATGCGATTATATATTTTTAAAAAATCCTTACATACTGGTAAAATGGCCTGTCTGGGATTTGCTTTAAAATACTCTAGGGGAAAAAATGGAGGATGGGTGAAACAGGAATGACAGAATATTGATAATTTTTGAAGCTGAATAATAGCTGTATGAGGATCCATTATCCTATTCTACCTTATTTGGGTTTGTTTAACAATACTATAATAAAGTTTCAAAACATAAATCAAATATGGCAGAGGGGAAAAAAAAATCTTGATTAGTATTGAATTCCAGAAAGTTCATCCTCCAATAGAAGATGCTGAGCTGGGCCCTAGGGCAATGAAAGCACACCTTTGCCCCCAAGGCTTCCTGAGCTTCATTCAGAGAGAAGCCACTGGAACCACTCCCAGAAGATGCTTTGGCTTAGAATTGACCTGGTTTTTTACAGAGCATTTGCAGAGATGATGCACTTTCAGGCTGTATCAATTAGTTTTTGTTGTGTAACAGACTACCCCCAAAGCTTAGTGGTTTAAAATAAACAAACACTGATTATTTCTCATGATTCTGTGGGGCAGCTGGGATTCTGGGCTGACTTGACAGGGGCCAGATGGACTAGTTTAGGACGGTCTCACTCAAATGCCTGAGGCCTCCTATAGGAAGCTAGCCCGGAATTGTTTACGTGACATGAAGCCCTCCCAGCAGCAAGAGAGGACAAGCCGAAGGCATAGGCACATCCCACTGGTCAGAGCAAGTCACACGGCCAAGCCCAGATTAAAGGGGGGTGGAAATAGAGCCACCCTTGCAGATTGGACTTGTACTGAATGGGATGTGGGAGCCGAGGGAGCCAGTCAGGGATCTGACTCAGCCCACCTCTCTGAATGAGACTTACTACTCAGATGTGGCCAAGAGTGGGTCCTGTGTTATTCATGTGCCCCAGGTCTAGAATCCTCTTTCCACTGAGCAGAGGTGGTGAATGAAATGTTATTCAGAAATATAGACCCTGGGCTAATGGAATTAACCAGAAAAAAATCATTCCTTTTTATGCTTTTGTTTATCTTCTTTTTTCTGTGGCCTCAACTCAGCCCTATTTTTCATCCACCTCCTCCGTAAACTGAGCATCTGTGACTCACTCTACAGGGCTGCTAGTTGCTAGAATGTCCCTCCCCACATTCTCAAAGGGCAGAGGGGCTTGATTCACAGGAGGGCGATGGGGTTGGGCATGAGGCCTTGGGACAGCTCCCTCCCCCCAGGCCTGTTTCCTCACCTCTGGATGTGGAGGTTGCCTGGAATGTCTCTGAGACCCTCGTGGCCCTGCCCTGCTTACAGGGAAGCTGTCAAGCTGGAGCAGGTGGTCCAATGCTCTGTCCCCTGGGCCTCAGGTCAGGCCTGGTCACTTTGGGGAGAAGAATGCTCTGTGTAGGTATAATAGATTGGTTGCAAAAGTGACCCTAATTCTTCACACGCACCCCCATCCGTAACTTTTTTCCTTTTAATTGAAGTATAGTCGATTTACAATGTTGTGTTACTTTCAGGTATACAGCAAAGTGATTCAGTTATATATGTGCTCGTGTTGCTCATTCGTTTGAGGCACTATCTGTTGACTTCCCACCAAGGAACGTGTAGCTCCTTGTCACCCGCTTCCCTCACCACTCATGTGCACCCTCCCCAGGCCCTTGTCCTTCCAGGATCCTTCAGTCATGCTTCTGTTAAACTAACTTTCACTTTTTACTTGCTATTGTGACTTTGAAAATGCTATTTGCAATTGAATTATGTAGAATAATATTCCAACTTTTACTTGTCCAACTTTTCTCTGCATGAGCTTCTAAAGGGCTGTTCCAAAGCCCTGGGTAGAGCAGGGGTGGGGTGGGAGAGGCCATTCTCAAACTCCTCCCCCTCCCTCTTCACCACCAGAGAGAGACAGACAGACAGACACCCCCATTCTTTTAGGTGATTTCCTCTGTGCCCCTCCCCCTGAGAGAAGGCTCTGGCTTCTGTGCCATTAGGTGCCTCCCACTTTGTGCCTTCCTGGCTTCCGCACATCTCCCCCATTTCAGTGGATGGGTGGGACCACAGATGGCACCCAGGATTAGGGCTCTGTGGTGTGGCATGAAGGTGACCATGACCCCAGTTCTCACTTTCTCAGCTTCTCTGTCCCGGTCTGGTGGTCTAGGGTGCGTGGTGGGAGCCTTTCTGGGAGATTTCTGAGTGAGGAGGTGGCTAGGAGAGTGTTCTCTGGGGCATGGAGGGGTGCAGAGCCCGATTCTGGGCTTTTTTTTTAACCTCCCCGCAGTTCAAGCCGTTCATGTACTTTACCTTGATCTACCGCCTTCAGGAAGCTCCCTTGATTTAACCCACGCAGCTCATTCATTCCTTGGTCCTGCTTTCGTTTTGGCCCCAGGCTGTCAGCTGGTGTCCTTTTAACTTACTCCTGGGCTGGGGCTGCCCTTTGGTTGTTCTGTCATTTCTGTGTCCCCAAGTAGCCAGCAACTGGGGCAGGGCTGTGCACCTCTGGCCTTCCCTGGTGGTCCCGGCCAGCGGTGGGTGCAGCCTGCACAGTAGGCTCTGCGCGCCTGTGGCTGATGGCTGAGTGGCAGCACCACTCTTACATAATCAGTTTCTCTCCTCCTTTCTCTTTCCAGAGCCAGATTTCACACTGAGCAGCTGCAGACAGAGAAATCAGAGAAAGCACAACCCAGCCTCAGATTCCGAGGGGCCTGCTGGGGACTCTCTCCTCCTGCTTGGAAGGAAGACCCCGAGGCAGCCGTTTCAGGCCAGGTCTTGGCTGCCATGGGACTCAGAGCCACCGCCCCCCGGCTGCCCTCTGCACTGCCAGGCAGATAAGGGTGAGCCCTGCCCAGGAGCACCTGCCACCTCCTGCTGGGCCACTCCTCCGTGGCTAGTCCTTCCTCGACTTTGGGCCACCTTTGCTGACCCGAGGCCATGTAGGCCCCACTCAGGCCTCTGTGGATAGACACATTGCTGGGGACACCACCTCTGCTCTCTGGGAGACCCAGCGCACCACCATGCCCCGGGGATTCGCCTGGCTGCGCTGTGAGTACTGGGGGGGGGGGTCTGTGGGGACTGCCCAGGGAGAGCTTGGCCCAGAGCCAGGCTTTGTAACCATGGCAACCAGGGCATTCTTCCTGGTGAGAAGTTGAGATGCTTCCCAGCTTAATGGCAGGCACCCTTGGGGACTTCCGCGCCGTCTGCCCTGTCTCCAGCTGACTGCAGCTCAGATGGGCATGGTGGGTATGAGCCTTAGGCTGGGTGGGCACAGTCAGTGGGTCACAGGGACAGGGCAGGCGCTGGGGGTAGGAGGCAGCGTCTCACCTCCTACCCCCAGCGTACGGTGGGGAGTACGGTGGGGATGGAGGTGGCAGAGAGATGATTTCTGGCCTTCCTGGGCGTGACCAGCTGGCAGTGGGGACTTGTGAAGTTGCCTGGGCCCCGTGACACATGGGAGAAGTGCAACCTGCTCCCTCTGCCTTTCCCTCCATAAAGAGCTAAATCAAAAGGCAGAAAGAGAACAGTGTCCTTGGGGAAAAGAAAAATAGTTGAAATGAGGACAGAAAAGAAAAAGAATCGACAAGTCTCTCAGGCCTGCCTGCTGGTGGGAGGCCAGACCAAGCTCCCTTCAGACTCCAGGATTCAATTTAATTGACTTAAATTCAACATATTTTTTGCTGGTGCCGCCCACATGCCCACTGGAGAGACACTGCCATGGCGACAAGGACCTGGGCTATCTCGTGCGTGTCTCTCTAACACCTGGCATGGAGTTAGGTGCTAGGAACTGTGTGCCACTTGCATGAGGTCCAGGGTCTGACCCTGTGAGGGATTCTCAGAGGAGCTGGGTCCACCCTGGCCCTTGTGGAGGGTACTGCAAAGGGTCTGGATGTTCAGAACAAGTGGAAGGACCCAGACCCAGTGTTCTGGAATCTTCCAAGTCCTGAGGAGCAGGGCGAGCAGGAGAAACAGCACGGCGAGGTGCCACTTGAAATGGTCTCAGAGGTGGGTGGGGAGGTGAGGACGGTGTTCCTTTCAGGGAGAGGGAGCAGCGGAGCAAAGGCTCAGCAGTGAGAGCGTGAGAGGCCAGGCTGGAAAGCTGGTTTGGGCTCAGGTGGCTGAGGCCTTGAAAGCCAGGGTGAAGAGTGGCTAATTCATGAGGTAACAGGGAGCCCTGGAAGGTCCGTGACCTGGGCGTGGGAGCTGAGATTGAGAGTTACTCTGCTTTCGAGAGATCAATCTGGCCGTGCTTTGGGGAGTTGCTGTTACAACCTCCTGGGCAGGATGTGATGAGGTGATGAGGGTTCCTTCTGGAGATGGAAGTGAGAATGAAGAGGCCTGGCAGAGGGGACAAAGCTCATGAAAGCAGAGCGCAGGATTGGCAAGGACTGGCCGTGGGGTGAGGGGGAGGGAGGGCTGAGGATCAGGGGCTCAGAGCGGGGCTGGGGTGCTGGAAAAGGAGTGGCTGCCATAACAGATTGCCACAATCTTGGCTTAAAACAGCAGAAATGTATTCTGTCACAGCTTTGGAGGTCAGAAGTCTGAAATCAAGTTGTCAAGGTTATGCTCCCTCTGAAGGCTTTAGGGGAGGATCCTTCTTGCCTCTTCCAGCTTCTGGTGGCTTCTGGCATTCCTTGGCTTGTGGCTGCATCACTCCAACCTGCCTTCATCTGCGAAGGCCACGTGAATGGTCTTTCCTTACATGTGTCTCTGTGTCCTTTCCTCTTCTTATAAGGACACCGGTCACTGAATTTAGGGCCCACCCTAAATTCAAGAGGATTTCATCTGGAGATTCTTAATAACATTGGCAAAGACCCTATCTCCAAATAAGGTTGCATCTGAGATTCTTGGTGAACATAAATTTGGGGGTATTTACACACACAGGCACAGATATGGGGGTGGTGGACAAGCCCCACTTGTCATTGCGCACAGGACATTACTCTTTCTTCAGTCTCCTCTTCTGTCTTACAGGCCTCTTAACTGTGGAAATAGCGGGGCACAGCGGGCCTCCCAACCAGGGTTGCGCTAGCCGTGGGGCTTTCAGAATGCAGAGGGTACGTGAGGCTACAGCTGTGCTGTCCCTGCCTAGTTACCTGTTTGCTGGCCTTTTTCGGAGTGGAGACAACAGGAAGGGAGCTTAAAACTGGGAATGGTAGTTGGGCTGCAGACTTGGAGGAGGTCTAAGTTTGGGAGAAGGCAGATCATCTATGGACAGAGTTTCTGGGGCAACCCATGTGTGCCAGGCTGGGAAGCACGGAGGCTCTGTAAGTCTCTGCTACGAGGCTAGTGGCCAGGCCCCCAAAGGCTCCAGACTGGGAATCAGATGAAGGCAGGTGGGGTAGGACTTGGGGTGGAGTGGGCAGCCACAGCGTGACTGCCACATTGGAAAGAAGACTCAGTGTGGATGGGGATACTGATTTTTAAAGAAAATATGGAAATTTGGATTTTTATGTGAAATCTCTGTGAACCAGAATGTGGCCCTAAGGACACCAATTTGTAAACTGTCACTTTCTGCCAAGTGCGGTCCCCAGACCAGCAGCATCAGTTTTACTTCAGGACTTGTTGGAAATGCAGATTCTCTGCACTCCCCCCGCCACTACCTCATACCTGCTCAATCAAATACCCTGGGTGAGCCATTACCAGCTTCTACAGGAGACCCAGATGCCTGATCCCGGTTCCCTGCTTGACGTGAACGCCAAAGTGCTGAGTAACACGTCCTTGCTGTGGTTTACAGTGCTGTGCATTCACACACTGGCTGCTGCGTTGTCTGGTCAAGGCAGTGAGTGAGGGGCTTCCCTGGTGGCGCAGTGGTTGAGAATCCACCTGCCAATTCAGGGGACACAGTTTCAAGCCCTGGTCCCGGAAATCCCACATGCTGCGGCGGAACTAAGCCCGTGCGCCACAACTGCTGAGCCTGCGCTCTAAGAGTCCGCGAGCCACAACTACTGAGCCCACGTGCCGCAACTACTGAAGACCGCACGCTCTAGGGCCTGCGTGCCGCAACTACTGAGCCCATGTGCTGCAGCTACTGAAGCCCGCGCGCCTAGAGCCTATGCTCCGCAACAAGAGAAGCCACTGCAATGAGAAGCCCGCGCACCGCAATGAAGAGTAGCCCCCACTCACTGCAACTAGAGAAAGCCCGCACACAGCAATGAAGACCCAAAGCAGCCAAAAAAAAAAAAAAGACAATGAGTGAATTGGACAGATGGTGCTAAGACAGGGGTTGGTGGCTGGCGTAGGCAGGGGAGCCTCTGGGGAGGGAAGGAGTCTTGGTGAGACCTTGGAAGGGGTCTGTCGTGTAAGAGGATACCCAGGGCAGGGGCAATGTGTGAGCCTAAACCCTGAGGCAGGAATGATCCTGACCAGCAGGGGTGCCAAGCTGAGAGTGTTAATGATGTAGAGACAAGGGAGAAAGCAAGCAGGAACACTGGTTTATCTGTTCCCTTGTCCAAATATTGGGTTGAGAATATGGGAAGAGAGAGACAGAGGAAGTGCAAGATGGATTGCAAGTTTGCAAAAAATGTGGTGTCAGACTTCTATGAGGGGAAGGGCTGGTGGGCTGCAGGCCATAAGGGGCATGGGCTTGAGTGAACCTGAGCTTCTGGCCCAGCAGGGGCACAGGCATGGCAGCAGCACCGAGAAGGGGGTGGGAAAGTGAGTGTCAGCAGGCTCAGGCCCGTGAGGGTTTAAGAACAAAAGTCTCCCTAAGTGCCGGGGAAGTGAGGGCAGAAAGTCCAGTCAGTAGTTGCTGCTCACAACCGGGGGCGAATCAAAGAGGTGACTCAGCCTGCCTGGCTATCTGGGGGGAAAAAAGGAAGAAAGAGAAAAAGAGAGAGAGAGAGAAGGAGGAGGATGGAAGGGAGGAAGGAAGGAAGAGGGAGAAAAGGAAAAAAAAATACTGCTTTTGACTATAACAATAATAGATACTAATTATAGAATGTAAAATATATCCTAAAAAATATAAAGAACATAAAAATCTCCCATAGAGATTTGGTGCATTTCTTTCCATTGCATTTTCTATGCACATATATACATAATTAACAAAATTCAAGTCATGCTTTATACCCAGATACAGTATGTTGAATCATGCTTTTTAAAACTTTGCTAAGCACATCAAAAGTATTTTTCTTATAAGCATATCATAAGTATTCTTTGGCAATGTGATTTTTATTGGCTACATTCGTTATTATTGAACATCTAGGCCACTTACAGATGTTCACTATTACAAAATAATACTGCAAAGGAAGACTTTGTCCACAGATCTTTCAGTTATGTCTCTCTTTTCTTCTCCTTCACATTTATTCCTAGAAATGAGTTTAATGGGTCAAAGGGTGTGGACAATTTTAAAGCTTAGTGGGTCGAAGTGTGTGGGCATTAAGTCCATTAATAACAAAAATTGCCAAATTGCTTTCCAGGATGAGAGCCTCTGCCTCACTATTTTGCCAGCAGCAAATGTTATTAAAATAAAATAAAACAACAGCAACAACAACAAAAAAGTCTTTCCATTTGGTAGGTGAAACGTATCGATTGTTTTGACGTGAATTTATTAGCGAGGTTGAGTTTCAGATACATCTCTTGCCCGTCTATATTTTGTTCTTTCTGCTCCCATCAACTTAACCCTTGTTCATGTTTGTTGCAAATTCTCTCAGATAATTTTTGTAAGTCTGTTCAGTTACACAGAAATCACACTGTTTTTAAAGTCACAGTGACCTGCAGTGGTGAAGGCTGGTAATGTTTGGATTGTTTGTTAGCGGGGAAGAGAAACAGCCTGAGTGAGGTTCGCTCAGCATCCCGGAAAGACCAGACTGGAAGGGCTGCTACAAACCTGCTGGTACCTCTAATTAAGAGGCATGTCAAGGTCTCTGGATGGAAAATGCAGCGAAAGGCTTTGAAAACTCGTAGCCTCTAGATGAGGGGCAGGGGTTGCCATGGAAAGGAGGCTGTGCCTGCCCCTTGGGGCAGGAGTGGGAAGGAGACTGGAGACCAATCCCAGGGCGTGGCTCCTGGGGGGCTTTGCCAGCCTGGGGTGGGAGGTGGCTGGGCTGGACGGTTCATGCTTGCCTGCATTGCTGTCCTGCAGCCCGGACCGCAGGGAGAGTATTCCTGGCTCTGGGAAGGCCTCCTTGGGACCTTGCGCCCCCCACCCCGACCCTTCCGAGAGGACTTGTGACTGGGAAAAGGGAGGTCGTGTGCACAGCTCTGCGTACCCGGGCAGTGTGGGAGCCACGCAGGTGGCTCACGTGTTGTTGTGTGCGGTCCACAGATCTCGGGATCCTCCTGGGCATGGCCTTGGGGAACGAGGGTTTGGAGGTGTGGCCCTTAACCCGGAGCGAGGAGTGTGCCATCACTGGCTTTCTGCGTGACAAGCTGCAGTACCGGAACCGCCTTCAGTACATGGTAACCATGTGGGCACTCGTTGTGTCCCTCTTCCAAAGCCCTGTGGCTCATGGGACATAAGGACCTGGAAATTCAGTCCCTCTCCTTGGACTTGTGTCAGGCCTGTGCCTGCCATGGCTCCCTTCTCCCTCACACACACCCGTGTGCCTCATCTGCACTTCCTGTCCCTGCTCCTGCCATCCATCCCTGGGGCCTCCAACCCTCCTATCTGATCTGACCTTTGATCCCACCTCCACGTGGCACTCACCCAGTGACTCAGGAATGGATTCTAGGAAACCTTGGGGGAACCCCAGGCACTATTTAGCAGGGGAGATAAGGACCTAGAAATTAGAATGTTTGATTCTTTTTATAGGGTGGACCACATCGCATGTGGCTCTGTAGGTCTTTTTTTTTTTTTAACAGCTTTTTTGAGATATAGTTCACATACCACACACACCTCACCTGTTCAAGTGTACATTTCTGTGGCTTTTAGTATATTTGCAAAGTCATGAAACCATCACCATGATAAGTTTTAGAGCAATCTTTTAAAGTCATTTTCCTCACCCCTCCTAAAGCATATGATTCTCTAGGAGTAGTAAGCTTCTCATCCTACATTTTGGCCCGAGACTTATGCCTTAACATGTTTTGTTTTGTTTCACCTTCCCTGTGTCCCAGAGGAAAGAGCTGTCTTTATCCCAACTGGGAGCCAAGCACATGTTTTCTGTAGAGGACCACCGCTGCCATCAAGGGCCGGTCCTGCATCAAATTCTTCTCCCAGGTTGGGGGAGTCTGAGCCATTTCTGACTCTGATCTCATCCGTTGTTCTTGTATCTCCCCAGAAACACTACTTCCCCATCAACTACAGGGTCAGTGTGCCTTATGAGGGGGTACTCCGAATGGCCAACGTCACCAGGCTGGTGAGAATCCCCCCTCTGGAATGGGGAGGCCCCTGCCTCCTGGGACATCCTGTGGGCCCTGCCTGGAGGCACATTGGTCTGGGAAGATCCTGTTGCCAGGGGTGTTTCCTGGCCCCTCAAGCAAGCCTGCCCTTGGCTTAGGCCCCAGGTGCCCCTCCCATCCCATCCACAGTGGATGCCCGTGGTCTGCCCCCTGTGCAGGGCAAATGTGGGGGGCGGTCAGAGCTGTGGGGGGCAGGCCCAGAGGCTCCTGTCTGGGGTTTCAATAATTTCTCCTGTCCCTGCAGCAGAGGGCCCGGGTGAGCCAACAGGAGCTGCGGTATCTGTGGGTCTTGGTGAGTCTCAGTGCTACTGAGTGGGTGCAGGAGGTGCTGCTCGAGGGCCATCCATCCTGGAAGTACCTGGAGGAGGTACATACGCTGCTGCTGGATGTCAAACAAGGCCTCCCGGTGAGTCGTGCGGAGGTGCAGGTGGCCAGGGTGCGTGCGTGCGTGCGTGCGTGTGGCCAAAAACTATCAAGGGAGAAGGTAAAGGCATGGAAAGTTCTGGCATGTCCTGGAGAGTGTGGGAGAAATGGGGGGGGCAGGGTGGTGGACTGGGCTTGGGGGGCAAGAGATGCGCCTGAGACCCTGTTATGCTCTGCAACCCTGGGCGAGTCATTGATCCCTCTCACTTTATTTCCACATCTAAGAAAAGAGGGAAAGGGGGAGGGATAGATGGGTGGAGCACAGGGGGGTTGAGGGCAATGAAACTTTTCTGTATGATGCTGTACCGGTGAGTATAATTGCATTTGTCAAAGCCCATTGAATGTACAACAGAAAGAGTGAACCCTAACGTAAATGGACCTTAATTAATAATAATAATAGAGGTTCCCAATCGCTGCCTGTTCAGCAGTGTTGATCGGAGGCCTGGGGGATACATCTTCCAAAAAGCCTACAGAGTAAGGTGACGGGGTCAGTGTGTATCCTCGCAGGCCATGTGTGTGCCATGGGACCCCTCCCCACACCCCCGCCTTGCCCTACTGACCCCCCCAGCCCTCCTTAGGACCCTGGTACACAACTGCCCTGGGGCCCCACCTGCTGCCCAGCAAGAACAGCCAACAGGAAGCCAACAGTGAGCTTCTGCTGACACCAGGGCTCAGGGCCAGCACCTGCTTTTGCAGCTGCCGAGAACTTTGTGGAGGCTCTCCATTCTGGCGGGGACCGGACTGTGTTCCATCCTCAATTTTCCTTGGGAGTGTCTCTGGCTCTGTGAGCTCTGCTGAGCTGGGAAGGAGATTGTGGGTAGACTGAGGCCCTGCCCACCTGGGTTCTTCAGATTGAACCAGCTTGTTTTTTTAAAGTTTTTTTTTTTTTGATGTGGACCATTTTCAAAGTCTTTATTGAATTTGTTACAATATTGCTTCTGTTTTATGCTTTTGTTTTTGACCATGAGGCATGTGGGATCTTAGCTCCCCAACCAGGGATTGAACACTCACCCACTGCATTGGAAGGCGAAGTCTTAACCACTGGACCGCCAGGGAAGTCCCTGAACCAACTTTTAACCTCTTCTTTCTCACAATGTTAATGGTTGACGGTCCGTTCCATATGTGCCCAACATCTATGGGGCAGTGGGTCCTCCCTCTAGGGAGAGGGCCATGGGCATGGGCCCCTTTGCCCTCCTGCCACCCTCACTTCTCTCTCTAAGCCTTTGTATATTAGTTTTTGGGGACTGCCGTCACAAATTACTACCAACTGGTGGCTTAAAACAACAGAAATTATTCTATCGCAGTTCTGTAGACCAGAAGTCTGAAATCAAGGTGTCAGCAGGGCCATGCTCCCTCCAAAGGCTCCAGAGGAGGATCTTTCCCACCTCTTCCAGCTTCTGGTGGCTGATGGTGTTCTTGGCTTGTGCAACATCACTCCACCCTCCGCCTCTGTCTTCACATGGCCTCTCCCTCTGTGTCCCAGAGAAGGACCTGTGTCCTTTCTCTTACAAGGACAACAGTCATTGGATTTAGGGCCCACCATAAATCCAGACTGATCTCATCTGGAGATCCCTGACTTAATTACATCTGGAGATCCCTGACTTAATTACATCTGCATAGATCCCATTTCCAAACAGGTCACATTTGCAGGTACTAGGGATTGGGCCTTGGACAGAGCTTTTTTAGGGGGTTGTGGGGCAGGGGGACACACAGTTCAACCTAGAACACTTCACTTTTAGGAACGTCCTTCCCCAGCTCAGGTCCCGCGTTTCCTCCTGCTCCATGTCTTTTTTTTTTTAAAGTATTATTATTTATTTATTTATACATATATTTATTTATTTTTGTTTGGCTGCGTTCGGTCTTCGTTGCTGTGTGCGGGCTTTCTCTAGTTACGGCGAGTGGGGGCTACTCTATGTTGCGGTGCGTGGGCTTCTCAGCGGTGGCTTGTCTTTGTTGTGGAGCACGGGCTCTAGGTGCGCGGGCTTCAGTAGTTGTGGCATACAGGGGCTCAGTAGTTGTGGCGCACGGGCTTAGTTGCTCCGTGGCATGTGAGATCTTCCTGGACCAGGGCTTGAACCCGTGTCCCCTGCAGTGGCAGGCGGATTCTTAACCACTGCGCCACCAGGGAAGTCCCATGCTCTGTGTCTTCTACGACAGTTCTGGCCCCTGCTCTGTCCCTCCCATGGTGCCTGGTGCTCCCCACACCAAGTTCCTTTTGTTAAGTGTTGTGGAGAGGAGCCCCCGAGCTTGGAGCTGGAGACCCAGCCCTGTCAGTGTGCCTAGTGCGCCTCACGATATGACTGACCCTCCTGAGGGTCCTGTCTCTTCTTCATGGGAGTCGGTGTGGGTCTTTGCATCCTGAAGGACAGTGTCCCTGGGATAGGGACTTCTCATGTGGTGGTAGCCGGGCCTGGGCTAGAACAGCAAGGATACCCCCACCTCCTCCCTGTCTGGCCTGCCCCTAGGAGAGGAAAAGAGAAGCTTCTGTGTGTTGTGCTTGAGCGAGGGACATCGAGGGAGCCCCTCCCAGGAAAAATGGCACCTGCAGGAAGGAGAGAAATTGCTCTCAGGCGTCCTGGTCACAGGGATCTCTTGTCCTTCTTCCAGGCAGGACAGCCACCACCACCCCACCCCCCAGAGCTCTCCTGGGATCTCTTCACAGGCTGGGGCTGGCACCTGTGGTCCTAAAGGCTTCCTCCCTTTCAGGGTGTGGAGGTCAGCCCCCAGGTGGAAGCAGTGTTGTCCCTCTTGAGTGCCCCAGGAAGCCTGAAGCCAGTGCGGCCCAAAGCTCTGCTGGACAACTGCTTGCGGGTCATGGAGCTGTTGTACTGCTCTTGCTGTAAGGAGCTCTGAGGGGCTGGGGGTGGGACACTGGGTGTCTGAGCCCAGGTCGCTGAGCAGAGCTGGGACCCTCCTCGGCATGCCCTCTGCTTCCCAGGGCTACAGGCCGTTTCTGGAAGCTGAGACGGGCCCTGGGTACAGGGAGGACAGTGTGGCTTGGTCTGGGGATGAGCGGGGTGTTGACCAGTCCTGCAGTCTTATTTGTGTCTGTGTGTTTGTGTTGCCTGCAGGTAAACAAAGCCCTGTCTTAAACTGGCAGGATTGTGAGGTGCCAAGGCCTCAGCCTCACGGCCCGGAGCCCTCGTCACAGTGTGTGGCCGCCCAGCTATACCCCCTGCGCCAGCAGCCCCCCGCCTCCCTGCCCCACCCCTCGGCATCCACGGCTGGAGCCCCGGCTCAGTGAAGCTGCTGAGGGCACAGGGCGAAAGCCGCCTGCCCTGAGTGGGCTGCATGGTAACTGGGTGGGGCAGCTGGAGGAGCTCCTGCAGGAGATGGACTGGGCCTGAGGCTTCTCTGGGTGGTAGTGGGGAGCCCCTCTTGGGAGAGGAGACCCTAGAGGGGCATTTCTCCTTTGGGGGGGACTCAGTGCCTGAGAAGGGTTCAGCTTCCCGCCTTCCATACCTCCCATGGTCTCACCTGGAGCGGTGGGCGCTGGGGGCACCTGAAGGTCAATGAAGACAGAGCTTACAGCCCCTCCTGGCACTGCCCGGGCTGCCCTCTACCCTGAGGGCAGGGCTGACCGTCTCCTAAGCCCAAAGAGGTGAGAGCTGTACCAGGTGGGCATGGGGGTGGGGACACGCCTCGGCAAGGCCAGGGAGAGGGCAGCAAAGCTGGGGAGAGGGCATAGCCAAATGCCACATCTTGCCACAGTTCCCTTTATTTTTTCTATTAAACACCTGCTTTGTTTTGGTTTGTTTTGGTTTGCTTTGCACCTTCGAGGGTGAACCTGGAGAAGGCCCACCTGGAGCAGGCTGCTTTCCCCTCCTGCTAGGTGCAGGAGGCAGGAGGAGGGGCATGGGCTGGTCTGGCCCTGGGGCCTCGGTCTGAGGATTCAGATGTGGAGTGGTCAGGGCCTTAGCCAGGGCCCTGGAATGGTAGATATTTGCGGGACGGAGTTCCTTCTAGCCCTGCCCCAGCCCCTGAAGCCTTAGCCAGCCTGACTGCTGGGGGGGGAGCGGGGGGAGCAGGGGGTTTTATCTCCCACAGTGCATCCTGGCCACGGCCCTCTTCCCCTCCATCTGGCAGCCCCAAGACCACCCCCAGCAGGGACAGAGCTGAGGCATTCAAAGGCATGGGTCCTGACAGGAGACCTGGCGACTCCTGCACGCCCCCCCCCCCATCACGGAGCCCTGCAGGGAGCCCCGCCCCCAGCGGGGATCTGGGATGGGATGGGCAAGGGCTGGGGTGCTGGCAGGTGAGCAGCGGTGGAGAAAGCCAGGTGGAGGCAGGGGTGTTAATTACAGTACAACTTTATTAATACTGGAATCTTCACAGTGCATTTGTTACTTGTAGCAGTGACTATTTAAATCAAGGAGAGGGTGGGTTGCAGGGGCGTGGGGGGGGGGGAAGGAGAGGATCATTTATCCAAAAACTGACAGAAAGAAAAGAAACAAAATGGTTCAGATGGAATGGGGGTGGTGAGGGGGTGGTGGAGGGAAGGAAAAAGTGAGTAGGAACCAGGAGGGGGAGCCTGGGGTGGGGAAATAAATTAAAAAAAGGAACAAGTTAACAGCACCAGAAAAGTTACTTCAGTCAAAAGACACTTTTTGAAAAGAATATTTCTCTGTACAAAAAGAAAAATGAAACAAACGTAAAGAAGTCCCCCAAACCAAAGTTTGTGATGCGGAATGGCTGGCTCGGATCCCAAAGGGGTGGGCCTGCAAGGTGGTCACTAAATGGACGCGAGGCGATCAAGGGGATGGAGGAGTTATGTACAGCCCTGGGGGGGGGGGGGGTGGGGGGGAAGGGGGCCCCCGGGGGAGGGGGGGGGGGGGGGCAGCTGTGCCGCACCCACCCCCTCCCTGGGTCTCTGAAGCCACCCCCCTCCCCAGGGGCAAGCTCTTCCTCATGGGGACTCAGCTCTCCCCCCACCCCACTGCCCCTTACCCTGCTCACATCACATAACCTGCATCTTAAATCAGCCCACCTGGGCAAACCCTGTGGCGAGGGGCAGTGTAAGCCCCGCCCCAAGCCTTCAAATACAGGCCACCTGCTCTCCCGCCCCCTTCCTCGCCCGGCCCTCCTCCAGGTGTGGTGCGCTCAGCAAGTCTCCTTTCTCCGACCTAGCGACTTACAGGTACCGTTCTCCACCCGCCTCCGGGGATCCCGCGGGGCTCCATATACTCAGGGTCATCCTTGGTTCCCCACACCCGCCTGGCTGCCGTGCCTGGACCCCAGTTTCCGGCACAAGAACTACCAGGAGCCTGGGCTCCATCCAGACCAGGAAAAGCCAGCTCTCCTGACCCCGGGAGGGGCCCCTGCCCCGTGACCCTGCCGCCCTCGGCTGCCTTGCGGGGCCGCAGGAAGTCCTCCGCTCGCACTTGGCACACGTGCTTTACCTGCTTGGAGCTGGCGCGCAACATGGTGCGGGGGCACTTGCCACCTCACTCCCTGCCGCCCGGACCATCCTGGGAGGGCCGCTCCTCTGACAACAGAGTCAAAGCTAATCTCCCCCCACTGCCCCCCACCCCCACCCCTTGGTCTGCAGCAGACTGACAGGAGGCCCAGCCCCCAGCCCTTTCCAACCTCACCGCGGCTTTGCTCCGGAAAGAGCTGCTCTCTGGCCTCCGGAGCCATTAGGCCCTCCTCCTGCCACAGGCCCAACGCCAGTGTGGGCCCCCCCGTCCCTCAGGCACTCTTGGACACACCCTGTACCGTCTACCCTGTCCCCACAAGCAGTCCTTGTCCGGTCAGCTCATTTTATTGTGTGTTCATAAAAGAACCCCCTCCCGTCCCTCCCCCCACCCCCAGCTCCAGCCCCCATCCCCAGAGGTGGCTGAAACCATCACGGCATCCGAAAGCAGCTCCTGGGGGACTGGCCAGGTGACCCCTAGCCTCTGGACTCCTTCCCTGCTGCCCAGCCCCGCCCTGCCTCCAACCCCAGCCACCCCTGGGGGGAGGGGATGCTGCTTCAGGGTCCCCAGCCTCCTCCAAGCAGGTCCCCTGCATGTCTTCCCCAAGAGGCTTGACTTGGGCCCAGGCCCCCTTCCCCGACAACGACGACGACGACGGCGGCGACGGCAGCTGGGCTCCCAGCTGCAACCTCCCCAGCCCCCCCCCCCCCCCCCCCCCGCCCCGCGCCCCCAACAGCCAGCCATCCCGTAGCGCTTTCTCAGCAAACCAGATACCTTAGCCGGTTGGGCCCCTGGCCCCTGCACAGCTGCTCCCCGTCGGCCCTGCTCCCCAACGGAGAGGAGCCTGGAGAGGCAGAGAGATGAGACGATGGAGGAGGGAGGAGGCAGGGGCTCAGTCAGGGCGGGGTGGGCTAGCATTCCAGAAGAGCCCGAGGCCACTGTCCCTGGAGAGATGGCGAGAAGCCAGGCCAGGCTAGCTAAGCGGTGGCACTGCGGGCCCACCCAGGCTGGTGGGACCAGGAGAGGCTGGCCCGGCCCTGCTGCTGTGGGCAGGGAGCATGGCTCTGGGGCTCACCCACACCAGGAAAAGGCAGGGCCCGGAAGGAGGAAGAGGAGGGACAGAGTGGGCAAGCAAAGGCTGAAACAGGCTCCAAATCCAAGTTCCAGGCCCGCAGGCTCCGTCCTGGCGAGGTTTGTTCAAGAAGTCATTTCCTGTTTAAACCTTGAAATCCAAGATGGGTGTCTCTTTCCAATAAAGTAGCTTTGCCTCGTATGACTTCAAAAAAAAAAAAAAAAAAAGCTTGCCTGGCTCTGCTCTCTCCTGACTGTGCCTTTGCTCTGAAGTGGCCGCTGCCCACCGACCAGGCCACCTGCCTTGCCCGGGCCAGAGGGTGGGATCACAAGATGCGGGGCGCCGACCTGTCGTTGGTGACGGTCCTGCGGAGCCGCACCCCGCGCCGGATGGCCACCAGCATGTCTTCAGCCGGGGGGTCGCTGGTGGCAGCGGGGGGCGGGGTGGGAGTCTCCTCCACAGGGGTGGCCGACAGGGCAGTGGGGAAGGGGAACTGGCCCTCGCCCAGGGCGTGGGCGCCTGCCACCAGCTCCCCGAGCTTCTCCACCAGGCTGTGCCGGTTGGCAGCCAGCTGCTGCTGCTGCTGCTCGTCGCCCTCGGCCGCCAGCCCGGCCCCCGGCCCCGGGTAGCTGGCGGCCTCGGGGGACGGGCTGCCCCAGGCTGTGTTGGGCAGGCTGAGCCTCTTCGGGGAGGCCCTGGCCAGGTCCGGGGCCAGGGGCGAGGCGGCCTCGTCGGTGTAGAAGACGCACTCCTCGCTGCCCGCCCGCGTGGGCCCCACGTAGCCAGGGGAGTCGGGCACCGTGGGCGTCTTCACGGGGACGATGGGCGGCCGGATGGGGATGGGGCCGGCGCTGGAGAGGGTGCGGCGCACGGCGGGCTTGGTGGAGGGCGTGCGGCGGATGGTGGCCACGCCAGGGGGTGCGCCCGAGGTGGTGGGCAGCCCGGCGGTGGGTAGCCCCGCAGTGGAGGCCGGGCGCTTGGTCTGGATCAGGCGGCGGTAGTTCTGGGCGATGTTGCTGTTGCGAGGGATGGTGGATGACTTGTCGAACTCGGGTGGGCCCTCCCCGTCTGCGTCCCCGTTCACTGAGTAGCAGTCGTAGTCGGAGCCTGGGGGGCATGGGATGCAGTGGGCCTGGGGCCCTGGGGGCCTGTGAAGGCCCAGCCGCCTGCCCCCGGCCCCCGGGGCCTACCTTGGGAGGGGATGGTGTCCTCGGAGCAGGAGGGCGTGGTGGTCTGTGTGCTGTAGCCGCTCGAGTACTGCAGGGAGTCCCGGCTGCTCTTCTGGTGCTCCAGGCTCAGGCCGCGGGTCAGCACCATGGCCAGGTCACTGGCCGCGGGGGACACCTCCTCACCGTGCTGGGGGTGGTAAGACTGCAGGCTGAAGCCTTGCTCCCCGCTTCCCCCTCAGCCCGGACTGCAGGCAGCCCCCAACAGGCTGAGCAGTCTGAGCTGGCCCTGCGACCACTTGCCTGGCCTCCTGAAGCTGACCTAGGAGTGAAGGTGGGGCCCTGGTTGGGCTGCCCAGGGAATTGCCGCTTACCTTGGCTGCGATGGTGGCAGGGGACATGCGGGGTCGCGGGGCCTCATCTCCACTGGGGCCCAGGGTGCCCCCGACAGCCGGGCCTGGCTCTGTGTCTCGGAGGAGCTCCACTCGGTCCTTCCTCCGTTGCAGGGTGCTGCCTGAGGGCTGCTCGTGGGGGCCGGCCTTGGCCCAGTCCTGCAGGGCATGGCCAAGGGGGCCCTCACTGTTGTTGAAGTTCAGGGTTTCCAGACCCACATGGGGCCTCAGGCTCACAATCATGGCCAAGGACAGAGCACGGAGGGCGCTGTGACACCCCAGTCCTGCCAGGCCCAGGGGCAGGATGGGGAGCCCCGGGAGGGAAAGATGTGAGCGTGTGGGGAGTGGCTGCAGGTGGTGCCCAGGAGGCCTGTCTCGCGGGAAGCAAGTGCTTCGTGCACGCCCCTCTGGTTGAACCTGGGCCCTCCCTGTGTCCCGCTGCGGGTGGGAAGCACTGACCGTGGTAGGGGAGCTGCACTCGCTGACGGACTGGCAGGTTTCCGAGGCCTCGGAGGACGCTGAGCTGGAGGACTTCTGCCACGCAGAGGCGAGCAGGCAGGAGGATGGGCGGGGAGGCAGGACGAGAGGAGGGAACAGATCTGGTCACAGCGCTGGCATGCAGCAGGGCCTGCTGACTCAGCATTCCCACCCCACGCCCTCCAGGGCCACGGCCACGGCCGTGAGCATATGCAGTGGAAGGCAGCACCCAGAGCGCACGCCATGGGCAATGACCTGCCCCCCAGCCCAGCCTGATAACCACACACTTTTGAGGATTAACAAGAAGGCTGGCTGCTGATGGCCTAGATGTGGTGGGCAGGGAAAGAGCGATACTCAGGAGGGCAGTGTGGGGTGCTGGCTTGAACTGCTGGGTTGATGTGTCACTGTTTTCTCAGAAGGGCAGGCCTGGGGGAGGAATGGAGTCCAGAGTTCCATCCTATACATGTTAAGCTGAGCTGCCTGTTAGGTATCTATGCCCAGATGCAATGCAGGCAATTGTATTTACAGTCTGGAGTTTAGGGAGAAGTCCGGTTTGGAACCACAAATCCAGCAGCCGTCGGACAGAATAAGGTCACCTAGGCAGTCAGGATGACGGTGGTTAGAGAAAAGGTTCAAGGACGTCAGGCTGACATTCAGTGCTTTGGAAGAAGAGGATGGCCCAGCGAACAGGAGTGACAGGAGCTGCTGGTGGCGTGGAGGAAGACCACGAGCAGGTGATGTCACAGAATCAGGGGAAGAACCTGACGCGCAAAGGAGGGAGGGGCAGTTGTGCTCGGCTGCTGGGGGTCCGTGCACATGAGGCGGAGGGGTGTCTGTGCAGACCTCCAGAACTGTTTCACAGAATGGTGGGGCAGAAGCCCACAGAGGACAGGACCGAGGGTGCCCAGGAGGCTCCTGCTCTGGACAGTGGCAGGAACTAGGTGCCCTGGAGGCCCCCCAACTCAAAACAACAAAGAGGGACTTCCCCGGTGGTCCAGTGGTTAAGTCTCTGCACTCCCAGTGCAGGGGGCCTGGGTTTGATCCCTGGTCAGGGAACTAGATCCCACATGCATGCCACAACTAAGACCCGGCACAGCCAAATAAATAAATACATAAATAACAAAGAACAACAACAACAAAGAATGAAGAAAAAAGCAAGGGCAGAAACAGGACCATGAGGGTCCCCAGGGCAGAGGCTGGCTTCAGCACTGTGGTTGAGAGACTGGGCAAGTGGCAAGGTGGAGAGCTCACCCTGTTGATGACCCAAATTAAACCTGGAAGGGAACTAATCAGTAGCACCCCTCCAGATCCTGTACCAGCCAAGTAAGATTCTCTAAATCATCCTGGTTTAGACCCCCAGATCTTTTTAATAGTTTATGATGAGCCAAGATGACTAAAATAAAAGGAGCTAAACTCTATAGGTAAGGATTCGGAGGAAATAATAAACACATTTAGAATTTTACCAATATAATTGTTAAGACAAAAATAAAAAAGGAAAAAAGTATTTGGAAAGCAGCGGAAAAATTCAACACCCATTCACGGAAAACAAAACACTTAGACTAGCAATAGAAAGGAACTTCCTTCATCTGATAAAGAGTTATCTACAAAAATATCAATACTTTTCTTTCTGAGGTTGGAAAAAGATAAGGATGACCATCTCTATTTAGCACTGGAAGTTCTAGCAGTGCAATAAAGCATGAAAAAGAAGTAAAAAGCAAAAGGATTGGCAAAGAAGAAAATGGTTGTTTGTAAAAGACAGGGCTGTGTATGTATTATAGAATATTCAAAAGAACTAATATGTGTTTTCAGTGAGGTTATTGGATACAAGATCCACATGGAAAAAAAATCAAATTGCTAAATATCAGCAGCTAAAAAACAAGTAAAAGACTCTAAAAAAAGCCGAAATAATTTAAAATAGCGTCAATAACATCAAATACCCAGGGCAAAAAAGTCCAGCAGTAGATGTGCAAGATCCTCACATGAAAACTGCAAAATATTACTGAGAGAAGGTAAAGCCATCATAGATGGAGAGACATATGTAATCCCAGTCAGAATCCCAGGGGTTGCTTTTTGTTTTTTTTTAGTGGAAACTGACAAGCTGATATTAAAATTTATAAGGAAATGCAAAGGGCCAAAAACTGACAAGGTAATATTGAAGATTATCAAAGCTGGAGGACTTTTATTACCAGATATCAAGATTTTTTATAAAGCTATTAATAATTGAGATGGTGTGGTATTGGTACAAGAACAGACAAATCAACCAGTGGAATAGAATACAAACTCCAGAAACAGCTATGCATTCACAGACACCCGTTTTATGACAAAGGTTAACACACTACACTGCAGTGGAGGAAAAGATGGTATTTTCAAAAAATTGTCAATTAGATATTCATATGGAAAAAAAGACCTCTACCTCACCACCCCCCACACACACAATCAATTCCAGATGAGCTGCAGATCTAAATGAAGAAAAGGTAAAACAAAAAGGCTTTTTTTGGAGGAAAACATCTTTGTGACCTTAGAGTACACAAAAATACCTCAAACAGGACAGAAAAAGCAATAACAATTGAAAAAAATGGATAAATTGGACACACATTAAAATTAAGAACTTTAGGTCATTAAAAGACCCCATCAAGGGAGTAAAACAGCAACCCACAGAATCAGAGAAGATTATCAGATGAAAAGGCTTGTATCCACAATATATAAGAAGTTCTACAAATCAACAAGAAAAAGACAGACAACCTAGGAGAGAAAAATAAGCAAAAGATCTGAACAGGTCCTTCACAAAAAGAGGATATCCAAATGGCCTTTAAAAGTATGAAAAGGTGTTCAACCTCATTAGTCATCAGGGAAATACAAATTAAAGACACAGGGCACTATGATATAACACCTATCAGAACGGCTCAAATGAAAAGGATACCAAGGTCTGGTGAGGAGGTGGAATAGCAGTAAACCACTGCTGTGCTCTTCCTGCCCATTTAATTATGGGAAGACATCAGAGACACTCAAGATGAGGGATATTCTACGAAATACATAACCAGTATTCAAAAGTCATTTAAGAGGGACTGAGGAGCCATTATAGACTGGAGAAGCCTAAAGAGAGACGATAATAAAATGCAAGGCAGGGTCCTGTGTTGGATCCTGGACTCCTGGACCAGGAAAAGGACGTTAGTGAGAAAGCTGGCAAAATGTGAAGAGTCTGTTGACTAGTTAACAGTATTGTGCCTGTGTTAATTTCCTGGTTTTGAAAATTGTTTGGTAGTTACGTGAGACGTTAACATCCGGGGAGACTGTGGGGAGGGTGGGTGGGAACTCTGCACTCTTTTTACAGATTTTCTACAAGGCTAAAATTATTTCAGAATTAAAACAAACCCTTAATGGATAAGTTAAATAGCTATAAAATAGAGAAAAAGTACATTGGAAGATGGACCTGAAGAAATTATCCAGAGAAACAAAGAGATGGGAAATATGACAGTGAAGAAACACACAAATGAAAGTAAGAATAAAGAGATAATGGTTGACGGGCTTCCCTGGTGGCGCAGTGGTTAAGAACCTGCCTGCCTATGCAGGGGACACGGGTTCGAGCCCTGGTCCAGGAAGATCCCACATGCCGCGGAGCAACTAAGCCCGTGTACCACAACTACTGAGCCTGTGCTCTAGAGCCTGCAAGCCACAACTACTGAGGCCTGCACGTCTAGAGCCCGTACTCCGCAACAAAAGAAGTCACCGCAATGAGAAGCCCGTGCACCGCGATGAAGAGCAGCCCCCACTCGCCGAAACTAGAGAAAGCCCACGTGCAGCAACAAAGACCCAACTCAGCCAAAAATAAATAAATAAATAAATTTATATATGAAAAAAAAGAGAGATAATGGTTGAAAATTCCTAGAACAAATGAAAAACATGAATACAGAGATAGAGAAACACAAACACACCAAGTGAGGTTAAAGAAAAACAAATCCACAATTAGACACATTGTAGAAAAACTAAAGTGGCCAGAGAGAGAAGTCAGATCATTCACAAAGGCACAACAGTGACTGACAGCAGACGTTACAACCAGCCACAGAATCCAGAACACAGGGGGAATATATCTTCAAAATGTGGAAACGGAGTAACTGTCACCCCAGAATTGCATCCCTGGCAAAACTAACTTTCAAGAAAGAGGAAAAATATAAAGCATGTTTACAGATAAACAAAAACTGAGTTTACTACTACAGACCCATTCTAAAAAAACTTCTAAAGGACATATTTTACTTCAGAAAGAAGGAAAGTGACCTTAGAAGGAAGATGGGATACAAGGAAAAAATGAACAAAAAAAGTGTAAACACATATGGGTAAACCTAAACATACAGATACTGTATGTATAAAATAATGATAAAATTAAGAAGAAAAATGTCAATCATGGGGACGATTAAAAAGGAGGTATATATAGCTTATAAGGGGAGGGAGTGGGTGACTGAAGTTAAAATATACGTTAAGGTCCTTGAATTATTCAGGAGGTGGGGCTGTGACTTTGCTACGGATGCATGGTAAAATTTCAAGGTAACCTGTAAAAGAAATGAAATAAGAAGTATAACTTAAAATCCAGTAGAAGGAAAATAATGGGGAAAGGAAAAAGCAAGAGAAGAGACAAAAGCAGCACAGAAAAAGCAGAATGAATAGAAAGAAAAAAGTAAGACAGAAGTCTAAATATGCCAGTAATCATAATAAATGTGAATGGACTAAAAACGTCAATTAAGAGATTGTCAGATTGGATAAGAAAAGAAAATCTAGGCATATGCTGTTTATAAGAGACTCATCTAAAACATAAGGACACAGTGAGCTTAAAAGCTAAGAGACAGAAAATGATACCATAAACACTGAGCAAAATAAAGCTCAAGGAGCTGTAGTAATATCAAAACAGACTTTAAGCTAGAAAACATAAAAGTAACAGAAGATCAACTACATCACGTTAGGAGATTCAGTTCACTAAGAGTTAACATTTTGAACTTGTATGCACCTAATAAAATAGTCTCAAAATATATAAAGCAAACGGATAGAGCTATATGGGAGAAATGAACAATTCCAGCTTTTCAATTACTGATAGGTAAAGCAGACAGGAGTGAATGGGGAATGAGGTAGAGGTGGTCAGTGTGGACAAGTCTTTTGAGAAGTTTTGCTGTGAAGGAGAGACTAGGTGGCTGGAGGAGAACATGGAGGAAGGGAGGAGGGCTTTTAAGATGGATGACACTAGAGCATGTGTTTGTGTGCTGACAGGAATGAGCCAGCAGAGGAGGGGAGACTGGCAATGCAGTGGGGACATCCTTGGGCAAGAGGGCAGGAAAAGAGAGAATGCTGAGCTCAGATGGAGGCACTCGCCATGATGGGGAAGGACAGCACCCTGGGCATGTGGCCTGACCTCCCTCTGTCTTCTGCTGTAGTTCCTCTGTTTCCATCTCACTGAGGCTGCAGGATCTGAGCCTGCATCTGAAGAGATTCTTGGGCCAGTCTCTGTGTTCAGAATGAGCTGGCCAAAGTGTGGAGAAGGGGGAGGATGTCTGCAGATCCTGGGGCTCCTGGGGGTGCCTCCTAGGGCCAGCCACTCCATCACAGCCAGCCTATGCAGGGGGAGGGTCACAAGGCGCCAGAGCTGGTAAGCTGCTCTAAGACCTTCCAACTCTCCTTAGCCTTGAGGCAGTGAGTTGAGATTGGTCCTCAATGTGGTGGCCCTGGGGACCTCCAGGGCTAGTCTCAACAGCTGTAGGTGGCCTCCAACGTGGATGGCCTGAGGCTGGCATGAGGCCACTGCACCCTACCCCAGGTGGTTCAGCAGATGCCCCCTCACCTGGCTGGTGACGTCTGAAGGCATGGGCGAGGGGGGCTTGGAGTAGGTGGCATCCTGGGAGATGAAGCCAGAGTCGTGGGAGGAGACGCTGGAGAGGCGGGCGCTGGCGGTGGCCGGCTGTGCCAGGCTGCGGTAGCGACAGGTGGAACCAGGTGAGTATGTTTGGGCACCCCCAGGCCACGGGGCTCCGCCACCCTTGGCACTGCTACTGCTGCTGGGGGCGCTGGGGGAGTGAAGGGGGGTGCACAGCAGCCAGACAGGGAGACACAGGGGTGTGTGTGGAAGGGTGACAGACGAGGGTGGGGGAGAGAGGTGAGGGGCAAAGGAAGGAAAAGACAATGTCAGACTACAAGGTCCTGAGACCAAAGTGCCACAGAGGAGCTGGGTTCCAGGACTGTGGGACAGGGTGGGGCCTGGGCAGGGGACCACACTGAAGAGCTGGCCCAGCGCCTGCCCCCGGAGCACCCCAGTACTACCTCCTACTCTGCCATCAAGAACAGGAGACCTTAGGTTAACAAGGAAGAAACGGAGTCACCCAGCATCAAAGAGTTTCCCAGTTAGGCTACAACCAGACATAAGTCTGATCATGACTGTCTTCTCAAAGTCTGATATTTGCTATCAAATCCTAATTGAACGTCTACTGCGTGGTGACGGTCTGTGTGGGGCTTGGACTCACCATTGCCCTCATCCTTTCCGCCCCCTGAAGGGTGTCCAGCCCTCTGTAGTTCATATCCTCTATGCAACCATTTCATCCCTGGGCAACGTTCCTGGCAATGAAGGTCGCCTTCCTCCTGAGCATGACCGGGAAGGTCCCCAGCCTCCACCCTTGGTCATGGGTGTCCCCTGCAATCAACTCTCCCCTCCTGTGCCAGTCACCCACCCAGGGGCTGAAGAGCCGCCAGTTGACGTGGACCCTCCTCTCCCTGCAGGAGCCGCTGACTGCTGTGCCTGCCTTACCACCCATGCCCCCAGTTGCCCAGCCAAGGTGGATCTGGGGAAAGGGTGCCTGGCACAGAGGGGTCTCCCCACCAGGAACCCGCACTATGCTCACTGCCCTCCCGCCGAGGAGCCTTGAATCTTAAATAGCTCTCCCAATCCCACCCAGGAAGTGCTCCTGCGCCTGAGCCCGACCGGTGACCGAGCAAGACCTTTGGCCTCTCCCTGGCTCTGTAAGACCTCGGGGCCCAGCTTAGGCTGAGGTTCGGGCCTGTGGCAGCTGCCCAGGCACCAGCTCTCAGGAACCAGCCAGGCTGCAGTGTCCATAAGGTAATAAGCCTGTAGCCTCAGCGCATGTTCCCCAATGCCTCCACCGCCCTCCCCATCTTAGGCTCTTACTATTGCCCCAGCACCGTGTTGAGCCTGGCAGAGTCTAGTGGTTAAATGCTGGGGTTCTGTACCTCAGCTTTCCCTTCTGTGAAATGGAGACAACACCATACCTGATACGGTGGTGTTAGGATTCAATGAAGAAAATGCATAAAGCATTTAGCACGGCACCTGGTGCATACTTATTGCTCCATAAATGAAGCTGCTGCCCCTCCGCCCGCCCCCAACACACGCCTGCACTAGCAGCAGTCTTGCAACGAGAGAAGTTTCCCCTATGCTTGCAGATTCCTTGGTGACGTAGGAGTTGTGTGAATTCTGGGGCCCTGAAGCTATTCTTGATGCAGTTTTGGTGGGACCTTCCCGATCCCTTGCTGCAGTACCCCGCCCCTCCCTGCACCCCACTTCAGCCCCCCACTGACCTGCACATACTGGACTTCCGGGAGCTGGAGCTGCTGGGCGATGAGGGTGGGGTCTGGTAGGACCAGCTGTAGTCTGAACCCTTCAAGTCTTTGATTACCTGGATGGACATGAATGGGGTCACTGGAAGCAGCCCTGCCCTGCAGAAAGCCTCATCCTTTTCCTGGGCCTCCCCTCAGAGGGCTAGTAGGGCCAGAGGCCCCCTGCTGTCTTCCCCATTGAGAACCGGGCCCCAAAGGAGATCCCTGGGAGTCTGAAGCCCCCTGCCCCCCAGCCTTTTCCTAACACAAGCTCCTCACTCAGGGGCAGGAAGCAGGGCTGCCAGAGGGCTGGGGGGGATGCCTGGGGAGATTCTGCCCCCTTTGCTTCTCAGGGAAGCTGCGCAGGCCAGGACATGGGAGAACCTGGTGCTCCTGAGGACTCACTGTCGCTGGCAGAGGAGCCAGGCCAGAGTGACCATGAAGGACACCACGGGGTTCAAATCCTGGCTCTGCTCTGCTCTCGGGCAAGTTCCTGGGTCTCTCCTGGGTTTCTCCTGTGAAATGCAGCCAATCATTCCTATTTTAGAGGGCCACTGGGGTGAATGAATGAGGTGACCCATGGGAAGTGCTCCGTGTGGGCTGGGCACACAGTAGGCGCCTGGTGAGAGCAACGCCACGGCGCTGTCAGGTAGGGCTGACCCTAGTGCAATGGGAGCGTGGTGGTGAGGCGAAGTGGGCAGGGCGGCACATGGGGGCAGGAGCGTCTGGGTCTAGGGGAGCTGACGGGTCTGGGTGTGGATGCCAGGTAGGCATCATCAGGCCTTGCTTTCTCAGGGGGATCCTGCGGGTCTGGGACTTCCACCCGTCTGCTCTCGATATAAGGCCCCCATTGGGTCCTGGGCACACCACCCCTCACCTGGGCAGATGCTCCTAGATCCCCACAGATGGCCCTCTGTGTCCAGCTGCCTCCTCCAAATGCTGTCCCCTTTTCTCCTCTATCATCCCCAACCAAGGGCAAGCCATCCCCTCCCCTGTCCTGTCCCCAGGGCTGGCCGCACCTGCTCGCTGGCGGGGGGCAGCTTGTGTGGCTCCGCGGTCAGCACCACCAGGTCATCGATGATGCCCTGCAGGTGGGTGATCTCTCCGAGCATGGTCAGCTCGCCGTTCTGATGGAGCAGTGAGTCAGCCTCTCGGCCCCGCCCCTGCCCATGCACCCTGGAGGACCAGGCCACACTGGGTCTCCCCTCCCTCACCCCTTCCCACCAACCAACGTTGCTTGGGCTGATGGAGGCTCCCAAATCATGGTTCTTGGGAACCCCTCAACTAGCCCAATGGTGGAGACGCTCAGAACGCCTCTCTGTTCCCGAGGAACCCACCACCACAGGCTGCAGGAAGGTGATAAAGGTGCAGAAGCGGCCACGCTCCTCAATCAGGGCCCGGCGCACCGCCTGCTTCTCCGTCTCCTCCAGCAGCAGGTACATGTCGTTCACATCCTGCAGGGCACTGTCCAGCTGGGGCTGCAGGTCTCCTTTCCCTGGAGGGGTTGGGAGGAGAGGCCACGCTGGGGATGCCGGCCCGGCCCACTGCATCCACAGCTCAGACCCCGTGGTGGTGTCCCTGGTCGTGGGGCTGGGCACTGCCATGGGGGCCAGGGGACTGGGGAGGGCAGTCGGGACGCTGGGGCTTGTGGAAGGGCTGGTCCCCAGAGCAGAGAGGACAGATAAACAAAGCACACAGGAAAGATACCAAAGCTGCGAAGCCACCCAGGTCCTGGGGTGAGCAAAGCCCTGGGCAGCCCCAGGGCCGCCCTTGGTGCAGTTGTGCTCAGGAGAGCCCAGTGGCAGCCTCCACAAGAGCTGAGACTTCCACCCCCCAGGATACCCTCACTGCCCACGGGATGGTGGCCCCTCCCATCCCAGGGCACAGGGATGAGGAAGGGAAGCAGGACAAAGTAGAGCATGGGGGGCGCAGCTGTAGGCCAGGCCACGAGGGGGTGTAGGGGCCAAGAGGGCAAGGGGCTGGGCCCAGGGGACAGGGAACGGGGTGCCTCCGTGTGGGTCCCCCCTCAGCTCAGGGAATGATGCACAAGGACAGCAACAGCGACACCAAGAAGCGGCGAGAGAGACACGGAGAGGCGAGAAGATGATGTAAAGGAGACAGCGAGACAGGAAGTGGGGAGGCAAGAGGTAAGGACTCTGGGAGGGCCTGGTGGGGGCGGGGCAGCCAGGGCCTGTGTCCCCACCCTGCCCGGTCCAACCCCTCTTGGCCTGGCAGACTGACCCAGCAGTGGCCCCGGACTCATCCCTGGCCAGGGGCCCCAGGGGCCCCAAGGGGACTGTGCCCCAGGCCCCTCCCTCGCTGGACCGACCGCCTTCCTCGCTCTTCCTTGGCCTGGAGAGGCTCCTTCCACTGGCCCTGAGCTGGGGGAGACAGACAAATGCGACAAGGACGACAAGGACGGGAGGAGCAGCAGGAGGGATGGACATCTGACTTACCAAGTAGCTCTACAGGAAGGATTGGGACGAGGAGAGGAGAGACAGAGAAAGAAAGAATGTGTGAAAGACAGCCGGATGGACAGAGCCACTCCTGGGGGTGGGGAGGGTGGGGTCTGGGGGTGCCTGGGCCTGTTGGCCTCCTGCTGCCTCCCTGGGAGGGGAGGTCCTGGGTCGGGTCTGGGGTGCAAGGTGCTCCCTCTGCCCCACCCAACAGGTTGGAGGGTCCTGTGTGCGGGATAGGACCCCTCAGGCCAGGATGATGCCCTGGGGTGCCCCACAGGGCGGCAGGGGATACAGAGCGGGGCCCCGTGGAGCTGTGCCTCTGTGGGCCAGCTCTGGGCTCTACCTTTGCGTGCTTTCTTCTGCAGCTTCAGCGTGTCTGAAGATTTCTTCTTGATCTCATGCCTGGCTCGTTTGTACTCTGTGCAAGGGATGAGAAAGGAGCCCTGTGACGACGGTTTCCGTCCAGTGGGGGGCGGGAAGCACGGGCCGAGCCCCAGACCCACCTTTTGCGTGGTCCTTGTCTAGCTGGTTGGCCGACTTCTTCCAGTCCTCGATGCGCTCCTGCAGTGGGTTGATGAGGCTCTCCAGGAGCGCACTGTGGGCGGGGGCAAGAGGGTCAGGTCCACCCTGGAGGTGTCCCCGTGACACGCCCCCCTCCCCGACCGCAGCGCCCACTCACTTGGTGAACTGCCGCAGCTTGGTCTCGATGCTGCGGTGGCGCATGCACATGCGCGTGAGCGCCGAGCCGATATCCCGCGTGGCCCCTGGCGAGGCAAGCGCGCAGCATGTGAATGGGCCCGCCGGGGCTTCTGCAGTCCCAGCCTCAGGCCACGAGGGGGCGCACCGGCCCGCGAAGGCTGAGCCGGCACCTCGCGCCCCGCCCCCCAGCTTTCCGCAATCCTGCCGGCCCCAGCAGGCGACTTGATCTCTTCTCAGTATTTACCAAGGCCCTCCTCCGAACTGGACCAAGGTCCTGCCCATCCTGGCTATGCCAGCCTCCTGCAGCTGCGGCTGCTCTGCTGGTCGGGCCAGGAGCTGCCCTTCACCCCAGCTGGGAGAGGCTGGCATCAAAGACATCCAAAGATCCAACCAAAATCCCCTCCTGCCCTACCAGGAACCCCCTCCAGGTGTGCCCAGATGCAGATGTGAGAGTGCCAGCATGCGCCCACTGCCTTGGTCCTCACCACCCGAAGGAGCAGGGGACCCAGGTCCCTGCTCCTTGGACCAGAATGCAGAGGAGATGCCAAGGCCAACAGGGAATGTTCACCTGCCCTCTGTGCTCTCAGAAGGGCACAAGGCAGTGGAAAAGAAGCCACAGTCAAACTCACCATAGGGAAGCATGAACAACTGTGGCTGAGGGGTCAAACCAGCCGCCCAGAAGCGAGAAGGGAACCCCCCTTTGTAACATCCTGTCATCTTTCACCCACTCCTGCTTGCATGCCTCTAATGACGAGAGGCTCACTCTCTCCAAAAAAAGCCCATTCCATTAGGGAGAACTCAAGGTCCCGACTCTGGGCCTGGTGTCCTCTTCCCAGTTCATATTCCACTTAGCCTTTCCAGCTTCCAAGCCCAACCTGGGGCATCCCCAACCTCCAGCCATGCCCCCTCCCTACCTCGGGTGTTGGTGGCCATGTCAGCCACTTTCTGGAAGGCATCCAGGAAGGCCACAGCAGCCAGCACAGTGGTCCTGGGGAGATGGACAGCGGGATGGTCTGTGGGTGAGGTGTCTTTTCTACCCATTCCCTCCCCAGTTGGGGCACCCTCAGCAGCCTCACCTCAGCTGGGAATGCAGCTTTGTGGCCTTGGAGTTGAAGTCCTCCCAGATGGGGTAGGAGCTCTGCAGAGGAGATGGGAGAGGAAGGGAGACTCCATGAGGACTGCAGGGCTCTACCTGGGCTGGGCTCCCCACATGCCTGGGTCCAGACTCTGGGCAGTTTCTAAGACAGCAGCCCTGCCCCTGCGGAGAAGAAGGCTCCTGGGCTCTCTAGGGGGAAAGGCGACCAAGGACAGAGACCTGGGGCATGAAGAAGGCCTGGCCCTGGGAACAGGCACCTTTGCCCATTCCTCCCTTCCTGACAGTCAGGAACTCTGGCCCACTGTCTGCAATGGTGGCCCACATCCTCAACGGAGATGGAAACAGTGAATGGCAGGTCCTGTCTCCTTGGGGATGGGAGAGGCCTGGCAGGGAATCTGGGCTGAGCCACACGAGGGGAACTATGTTCCCCCGACACAGCCCAGGATGGTCCACATGGCATGGGGGCAGAGGCACAGTGCCAGGGCTCAAGGCATGCTAGGTCTAAACTGGGGCCTCTGGGGCCCCCACCCTGTGCCCTGGAAGGAGCTGCCAGCCCGGCCATCCATCCATCCTGGGCCAGCAGAGGTGGCTCCCAGGCCTGGGGAGGCTATGGCTGCTTCAGAGCCTGGCCAGCCTGCCTGGGACAGTCAGGCCCCAGGCTGAATGGGGCCTTGTGCGGCCAACAGAGCCACCTTTCTCCACCCCCGGCTCCCCTCCCCTCCTGGGGACACAGTGTGGCCTTTATCCCAGCCTGGCCCAAAGTTCTGAGTTGGGAGGGGGTTTCCCAGTAGGGAAGCCAGGCTCTTGGTGATCAAGTTGTCCAGTGAGATCAAGGGGTTTTTCTGGCTAATGGGCCCTCACATGGCTGTTGGGTCCTGGCCCAATGGCCCTGTGGAAGACTTGATCCTTGAAGGGGAGCCTCAGGCCGGCAAAGCCCCTAGCCCCAAAGTGCTGCCGACCTTCCCTTCCATGTGGGATGGGACGCTGGGAGCTGGGGATTTTCCAGTGGAAAGGGGGAAGGCAGAGACCCCAGTCCCCAAGGCCTCAGAGGGAGGCTTTGCCAGGCTGGAACCCCAGGGACAGGGCCAGCCTGCAGGGGTGGGGAGAACAGGGCAGCTTCTGGGAGCCTCAGAAACTCCATCCCCTCCCAGCCCAGCCCAACCAGTGGCCAGGGAAAGCAAATATTTGAGAAGTTCACACAGGCCGGAGCGGGAAGGGGGAGGCTGTGCGTGGGCTGTCTCTGTGCGGCACGGCTCAGGGTAAAGGAGCCCGGGAGGCCACCCCTGACAGTCCTCAGGGCCTGGCGCCCTCCGTCACCTCAACACCCTCAGCCCTAAGCCTTGCCAAGACCTCCAGGGAGGAGGGATGATGCTGTGGGTACAGGGGTCCAGAGGCACCGTCCTGGCCCCCAGAAAACCTAAGCACCCCCAGCAGCCTCTGGGCAGTCTCAGAGGGCAGCAGACTGGGAGAAGCTGGGAAGACACAGGTCCCTACCCCATTAAAGTCCCCGGCTGGGGCCCACCCCGACGCTTCTGCCCAGCCAGGATGGCTCCAACCCAGACCCTCACAGCCTTGGCTTTCCCGGTGGAGAGGGGACAGGATAGGATGGGGCATGGGGGAGGCCAGGCCCAGTCCCTCCTCAGCAGATGGACAGGAGCACCTGGGTCTCTTAGGACCTGAGACTCCACCTCCCACTAGTAACTCATGAGGACCCTAGAGGTGAGGTTGAGGGGCCGAAGCAGCCAGGGCCCCAGGGGTGTCCTCAGTCTTCACCTGGACCTGTGCCCTCACGTGGGCCGCACCCTGGCTGTCAGGTTCTAGGACCCTGGGTTGTCATCACTAGTGACAGGGACTGCTACTGTTGATCAAGAGCGTGCGGTGGGCCAGGCACTGTGTGATCGCATGGAATCCTTACAATGACCCTGTGAAATGAATACTGTTGTCACCCCCATTCTACAGATGAGGAAACTGAGGCTCAGAGAGATTAACCGGCTTGCCCAAGGCCATCGAGTGCCAGGGTCAGGATCTGATCCCTTGTCTGACTGGTCACTACACGTCAGGGATCCACCCCCCACCACTTCTGGAATGCACGGAGACGAATATCTGGGCATCAAGGGTGGGTAGGGGGCAGGAACTACATGGATGGGAGAGATGCCCAGCTCTGCCCCCAGAGCAGTGGGCTGCTCTGGAGGGGAGAGGTTACATGCTCACTAGAGGTGCTCAAGTGGATGGGATGAGACCGACATGGAGGCTGCTGGGCCCCAGGCCCCTGGCCCCCGGACACTGTCTCTGACCGGGCGCTGGGCTGTGCAGGTGAGCGACTCAGGCTGCAATCCCAGAGAGGGGTCTTTCTGGGTGGCCTTGGGCCAGGGCATCCTCTCTGAGCCTGTGTGCTCACCTGTAAGGTCAGGATGGGAAGTGCACCGATGTCAGCAGGTCAGTATGGAGACTGCATGGAAAGCACTAGCACAGTGCCCGGCACACAGTAAATGCTAGGTTAATGCTGGCAGACAGAGCAGACACTTGACCCCTGCTTCTCTGCCAGGAGCCTCTCCCACCTGGCCAGGGCCTATGTGTCCGGGTGACACTCCCCACTCTCGAGGGCAGGCAAAGATTATGACCCTGTTTTCTGGATGGGCCAGTGCTGCTGAAGGTGAGGCCTGGGGCTGAGGCAGAGCCCTGGGTGCCACACCCAGCCCTGTCATCTTGGGCAAGTCCCTGCCCTTCTCTGGGATTCGATGGGCATCTGAGCTAAATGAGGCACAGCAGGCAGGGAAAGCTCCCGAGGGCCCCCTCCCGATCCCTGAGCTACTGTCCTCCTCCAGGCCCCCCAGCCTCCAGGTGTAGGTCCTCCTCCCCCTACTCTGCCTCTCCCACGCCAGGGTCTGGGCCTCCAGGAGGGCCGGGGTGTGCTGTTGTGGGGCCTGTGGCCGTGCTTGCCCTGTGTGGAGGGGCCTCACAGGTAAGCTCAGTCTCCTCAACCCGGCCACGTTCCTCTACGGAAACCCTGCTGCTTCTGTGGCTCAGGCCACAGAATGAAACAGCCAGAAGCCGTCCCTCAAATCCAGATGATCGACCTCCAGGTGGCCCGGTCCCCTGCTCTGTCCCTGGCCCAAACACACGCGTGTGTCGTAGGTATATCGGGACTTGGCATCACCGCAGGTGAAACCTCTCCCAGTTTGCTTCCACATGTCAGAAAATCCTGCCTCAATCACTTGTTACAATCTGGGCCCATTTCCTTCTATCTCATCCCAAAGTGCCTTGCAAATTGCCTGGAGAGGGAGGGAGACAGTCCTGCCCCTCTGCTCTGTGCAAAAGCTGCTGCTCTCTGCAGTGTTTGTGGAGAGGATGCCAGAAGGAGGAGGGTGTGGGAAGGTCCCCCCCTCTGCCAGCCCTGGGAATGGTTGGGGGAGGGTTGTCTGGGCTGCTTGGTCCCAGGAAGGAAACCCAGTGCCAGGGCTGTGATGTCCACAGGGCAGGAGGGGCTGCTGAGGGCAGAGAGAGGCCAGGACTTTTGGGGGCCGGCAGAAGCAGCTTGGAGTGGAGTTGCAGGGGATGGAGCTCTCAGGGGAGCACCCTATACGGGGGCAGTGAGTGGCACCTATGCATGCTGCTAACCCTGTAGTTCCTAGTGAGGGTGGCTCCAGTTCTCTTGGGGGTGGGGGTGGGGGCGCAGGGATCTGGCAGCTGCCCCTGGGGCTGTTCCCCCGGCAGCACTGGGAGCCCCCGAAGGGCCTGCTTGGGCACTGCGGTGTGTCCTCCCGGGGCCTGCGGCGCCACAGTAGGAGTCTATGTTGTGTACTTGGGAGTGTGAGACAGCTTGTGAGGGCGGGGGTCTGAAGAGGTCCCAGTTCTCTCCCCTGCTCTTCCCCTGCCCCACAGGCCTGCCCCAGAGGGGAAGGGTAGAAACGCTGCTTCCTGGTCCCCGTCCTGTCGTCGGAGATGCCCTTCCCCTCTGCCTAGTCAGCCTGGGGCGGCCCTGCCAAACCCTAGCCTCTTTGGGGGAGAGGAGCCCCCTCACTCCCTAGACCACCAGTGAGAGGTGAGGTCAGGGAGTGTCCAGCAGTCTCCTTAATGACCTTGAGCCATTCCCAGGCCTCAGTTTCCCCACCTGGTGAGCCAGCGGTGGGCCAGGAATTGGTGGCCCGCTGCAGCCTGACCTTGGGTAATCATGGGGAGGGGCTGGAGCTGACAGCTCGGAGCAATAGTAGCCCTTCCCTGGGGCTGCTCCATCAACCCAACCTTCTCCCTCCTCCTGCCAAGGTGGGGACAGAAGCCTTGGGATGCAGGAACGCTCATCGTGGAGACCTTGGAGTCCTGGATCTTGTTTTTGGGGACCCGGGCAGCGGGTGCGGAGGCCGAGGCCGGCAGGGGAGGAGTTAACGGTTCCCTGCTTTATTATTTTTCCCTGCTTTGGCGGTGACAGCATTGTCTGGGCTCCCGGGCCGTCGTGGGCGGGGGAGTGGGGGGGATGGTGGTGGTAGGGGGCGGAGGCCGGAGAGACCCCGGGCCCGTTAAAGGGCCGTGGAGTCGCTCCCGGAGCCAAACCCCATTCATGGTTTGGGGGTCTGGGGCGCGGGGAGCCCGCGTGTGCGCAGGCTCGGGTCTGGTCCCCAAGGGGGCGCTGCGACCCGGGCGACCCGGGGCTTGGACCCCGGGCACCGCACGGACACCCCGACACACAAGCACCCACACCCCCCAAGACGGGCACCCAGAGACCCGGGCGCACGGCAGTCGCAGGCCAGACGCGCTCAGACAAACAGACACGGCGGCGCACGAACACAGCGGGGCACGGCTGCCCGCCGCCACGCGTCCCCAGAGGGGGCACGCACCCGCACAAGCACCCGCGCGCCTGCAGGGCGGCCAGCCCCGCCGCGCCCCGTTACCTTCATGTCGTTGACGATGGCCTGGAAGAGCCCTCCCAGGGCGCCGCACTCCTTCTCCGCCGTCTCCATGCTCGGGCCGGGCGGCAGCGTCGGCGGCGGGGCGCAGGCTGGGCGAGGGGACCCAGGCCGCGGCGGCTTTCGCTCCGAGGCCGGGTCGGGCCTGCAGCCTCCGGGCTGCGCTCAGCGGCCGGCCGCGCCGCGCTCGGGGATCGCGGGCCGCCGCGGGGCGGCGCGGGCCATGTCGCGGCGGGGCTGGCGGGCGGCGCGGGGACTGGAGCGGCGTCCGTAATCCGAGCCGCCGAGGCTTGGACGTCACGTGGACGCGCGGAGGGAGGGCCGTGGGGAGGGGCAGGGCCGTGGCGGGAGGGGTCTGTGGGAAAGACCGGGCGAGCTCCGGCCCATTCACCAGGAATGGAGCCCGGGCTTTGAAATCCGAGCCCCGGCGCGGCCGAACTGGTCGGGCTAGAGGGCCCGGCAGGCGCAGGCGCCGCCGCGGTTCGGGGGCGGCGCTGGGGCGGGGCTGCCCGGCTTGCCCGCGGGAGTGGGACCAGTGGTTGGGTGCCCGCTCCGGGAAGGTGCCCAACACCACCACCCCCTCCAGCCTTTGGTCTCTGGCCGGTGTGTGTGTGTGTATGTCGGGGTGCGTGTGTGTGTGTGTGTCGGGGTGTGTGTGTGTGTCGGGGGGTGGGTGTTCCCGCGCTTTAAGAAGAGGGGGGCAGGCTGGGGTCCTCGGGGCGCATCCCGTCGGATGGATACACCACCCTCAGCAGGGGCGCACGGTGCCCTGAAGGCCACCCGCCTTGGAACGTTTTATCCCCGGCACAAAAGGGTTTGGACCCTCCTCCAGAAGTTCTGTGGCTCCTTTGCCAAGCAGTGCCAGTGCTGATGCCACCTGCATGGGGTGCCCCAGGCCGGGCCTTTGGGGGTGGTGATGTACTGGTCCTCAAGCAACCTCTTTCCTCGGGTTGGGGCTATGTGGGACCAGCAGAACAGAGGTGGGCCACTGTCCCGTCTCTGACGCCAGGGTACCCACGTATGAGGATGCATGTGTGTGTACGTTGGCCATGGTGAGTTCAGTCTGTCATCCTGTTCTGGAGACTCCGGGCAGGGAAACCCACCCTCCCAGCCCTATGCTGGGGCTCTGGGGAAAAGCCCGCACAAGATCCTTCTCTTCTATTCCAGGGGCCCACAAGAGCCACTTGGGAGATCATTAGGCCAATCCGAGGCTTCCCAAAGCCTGGGGTCAGGTGGACTCTGGCTTATAGGTTTGGTGAGCTAAGGCTCATTTAGCCAAATCAAGGGGTGGGGATGTGGGAAGCCCACCCCCTGCCCCGCCCAACTCCCTGCACTGGTCTGGGCCTTCCCCTCCATCCCCAGTGACCTGGAACGTTCTGCAGTGTGCCCCTTCATTCAGAAACTCCTGAGGCTCAGTTCATCTGTCTAATGGGGACATGTCCCATGCCCCCCGGGCGGGGGGTTGTCAGGATGGAAAAGTCAGATTAGGTGCCTGAGAAGGCAGGGATCAGGGGGCCAGGACAGTGCTTTGTGCTCTCCAGGAAGAAGGGGCTGGTTCTATAGAGGTAAGGGCTGGGCCCAAGGCCCACACCCCAGTCAGGTGAGTGTGCAGAGAGCGACCAGCCTCTCCTGGCAGAGCCAGCACTCCTGGGACCACCATGAGAACAAATCTCTAGGACAGGCAGCAAGGTCCTGGGGCAACTGCAGCATCAGGCAGGGGCAGGCATCAGTGGGAAGGAGCAGGCCAGGCACGGGTTGCGTTTCTTTATTGGGACAGAGGGTGCGCCATTCATATGGACCTCTGTGCTGGTCCCTATGTGCACAGATGTGTATACACATATGTACACACACATCCACAGGAGGCCAGAGCTCTGGTGCGCTGGGGAGGTCAAGCTCTTTTACAAGAGGGCATTAGAAAGAACCCGATTCCAGAAAATGGGGGCGTCTGAGGCTGCGGCCTCACCCTGGCAGGAAGCCAGCTCTGTCTGAATGCCAGAGTGCAGCTGACTGCGCTGGAGGGCCTGTGAGAGGAGCTTGGGTGGACAGAGCTTCCAGCCCCCTACCCTGCCCTGCGCTGGTGGCCAGGCCCAGCCCTGCCCCTGAGGCAGGTCCTCGGGCTCTGTGGGGAGGGGGCCTGAAGACCCCAAGTGCTCCATGGGACCACTCCTTGGGCCCTTCCCCAGGCCAGGCCCATCAGAGGACAACCCTCCGGTCCAGGTGATCCCCACGCCCACTCCGCTGGTGCCTCACTTCCAGGTGCTTCTTCTGGACCCTTTCAAAGTGCTGCAGCAGCTCGGCGTAGTCGATGCTCGGGGAGTCTGCTTTCTGTGACGTGGGGGCTGCCTTCGCACTGTCTCTGGGGAAAGGGAGCAGAAGGGCTCAGCGTCAGTGTCTCAGCACGTGACGGGGCTGCTGGAGCGGGTAAGCATCAGCCACAGCAGGGCAGTGGGGTCGGGGCAGGGCCACAGGCTGGGGGAGCTCGACCTCGGGGAGTCTGGCCACCTCAGGCCCAACAACCCTTCCCCAGCAGTCAGCCCCAAAGAGCAGGGAGCCCTATGGGCATCCCCTCCCCCACAGTTGGTGGGACCAGTCAACACTGCTGCTTGGATAGGGCCTTCAGCCTGTGGGCTGGCAACGGTGCCCAGAGCAGGCATCACATCGGGAAGCATTTCCTGTTTATGAGTGGCTCCCTTTGGGGTGAAAGCCAGGGCTAGGAGCCAGCCAGGAAGCCAGCTGGGGCCTGGAACAGGGTCCAGGGAGAAGGGGGAGGCAGCCTGGCCCTTTCTTTAGGGCAGGGCTAGGGCCGGGGACCACAGGGGTGGCTGAAGTCTACTGGCCCTCAACTTGGCAGGACATCTGTTTTTGAGTGTTGGGGCCCAGAGGTCTGCAGTCACTCTCTGTCCCTGCGGAAGGAGAGCTGGTCTCCCCACTGGGCAGCTGATGCCTCCGGGAACTCCTCTTGCTAGCACTCTTCGCAGTTGCTCCGTACCGCCTCACAGCTTGTGCACTGCACAACTGCCACGGGCCTGATGCTCCCTATAGTTGGGCAATGCATTCGCCCTGCTGCCCCCTTCAAGCCCAGTGTTGAGCTTGCCCCGGGGGACTAGATCCACTTGGGCCCCTGTCCCATTCCTAACCATCACCCCAGCAGAGAGTCCCAAGAAAAGACTCTGCTTCTCCCTCATTCTGGCCTCACTGGAAGCAGATCTTTGTGGGCTGGGAAGGATCTGCTTCCAGGCCCTGAGGCCTGGTGGCCCTGGTAAGGGATCTCATGAAGGCTGTGGGCTGATTAGCTAAGCAGAGAATCCTTGGGCCCTTTGAGTTCATGAAAAGACCCCAATATGGCAGGAGAGGTCCAGGTAGCAGCTGAGCACAGGAGCTCGACAGACCTGGACCCAACTGTAACACAACCACCCCCTAGCCACTTGACCTTGGGCAGGTAACTCAGTATCCTCCTCTGTAAGGGGGCACTGCCACAGGAGCCCCCCATGGGGTGGGTGAGGATTCCTCCATACTTGACATGAAGAACTTGGCCTGATGCCCAGCCCCAGCCTAGGTACCCGATGGGTGCCCACTGTGGCTACAACTCTGTCCCATGGAGGCAAGGCCAGGCGGGGCCCAGCAGCTCATTCCATTTGGGTGACTCACAACGGTGCTTCACCCAAATGGAACCCTCACCAACGAGCCTGGCTCCTGGTAAGGTGCAGCCCACCAATGGTCAGAGCCTGAAAGCCATCTCTGACAA